CACCCCACACCAAGTGGCTGCCAGCTCTGATGAGGCCCACGTGTGGCTCTCTGGGACTGAGCGCCTGTCCCCTGAGGACCTGGCATCGCCATGCTGTAACCTGAGGAACCTGCCTCCTCTTGTTTTCCTGAGTGCTTCTGGAGACCAAGTAGGCCACAGCCAGAGTCTCCAGACACCCAGTATTTGATGCTAACCTCTCTACAAAAATAAGACGAAAGCTGTCAATACTAAATGCAAATGATATATGCTGAACGAAGAAAAAGAGCCAAAATTGTATAGAAAGCATGATTTCAACTGTGTAAAAAAATACGTTAAGTATAAAAAAGCAGAGGAAAAAATGGCTAAAAAAAAAAAATCGGCTTCCCTCTGTTGCACTGAGAGGCAGGGACAGCTGCAAATTCACACTTGGGAGCCAATGGGACAAAGCAGGTGGGCACGGGAGAGCTGGCCTCCAATCCTGGTGCTTACTCAGAAGTGAACGTGGCTGTCCACAGAGAGCTGTCCACAAGCCCTCGGAGCAGNTCCTGGGGGTGATGGGATGTTCGTCATATTGACTGTGGCAATAGTTTCACTGGTGCATACATGTCAAAACGTAGATTGGGGCTGGCCAGTTATCTCAGTTGGTTAGAACATGGTGTTGGTAACACAAAGGTCCATGGTTTGATCCCTGTGCTGACCAGCCACCAAAAAGACCAAAAAACAACATCTTAAATTGAACACTATACGCACGTGCAGCTTATCGGATGTCCGTTACTCCTAAACAGAGCTACGGAGGGGAGGAAAGGGTAGGAAGACACTCATTCTTTTTTGCTCCACAACCCCAAGGATTTCTTCAAGGAGAAAGATAATTTCTGGGACCCTCTAAGAGGTTAGACAGGAATGTGTGGCGCAACAGCCTCTGCCCTCAGATGACACAGAGGAGGGAGGCAAGGCAGCCCACATGCTCCATCACTACGTGCCATTTTCTTTTTCTTAAAAAATAAGCCGAGGGGCCGGCCCGGTGACGCGCTTGGTAGAGTGCGGCACTTGGGAGTGCGGCGGCGCTCCCGCCGAGGGTTCGGATCCCATATAGAGACCGGTCTGCTCACTGGTTGAGTGCGGTGCGGGCGCGACGCCAAGGGTTGTGATCCCGTTACCGGTCACGAAAAAAGACAAAAAAGGAAAAAAAAAAAAAATAAGCCGAGGGCTGGCCCAATAGCGCATTCAGTTAGAGCATGGTGCCGATAAAAGCAAGGTCAAGGATTCAGATTCACCTTACCACCCAGCCGCCAAAAAATCTGAGAAAATATATTTCTCCATTTCTACTTCAAAGGAGGAACAGCAATGTTGACCCCCCAAAACAGGTGTAATCAATTTTGATTCAATAAAAAAAAAAAATCAAAATAAAATGCTTAGCTCCAAGAAAACAAAAAACAAAAAACAAAAAAACAAAGGAGGAACAGGACTGACCCTGACAACATGAGAATCATCAAGGGCCTCATGAGTGATTCCTCACGGAGGAGCCGGGCTTCTCCAGGGAACCCGGCCAGTTTGGCCAACGGCCCTGGACCTCCCTCTCCCTGGCAAGGCTGGCGTGTAGGGGGAGTGCCACCACCCTCACCTTGCAAATGCTGCTGCCGGTGGCCCCTTCGCTGTGCAGCAGGACCTCGGGCAAGGGCACCCGGAGCTCTGGCCGCTGTAGGTAGAGCTGCAAGAGCAGGTCTCGGCAGCGTCTGCCCAGCACACTGGAAGAGATCAGATCGGGTACTTGCCGGGTAGACAAGGGTTGGAGTCTGTCTGGGGCTGTCACGAGTTGCTCTCGACCACAGGCCGTCCACAGCAGTTAGTGGTGGGCAGGTGGGGCTGGGCATGCTGATGTGAGCTGATCCTAGGGGCCTGGGCCTTGACTCACTCCCATGGAGCTCCCACATGAGGGTGGCATCCAGTCACATCAGCAAGGGGGAAAAAGAGGGGACCCCTAAGCACCTGTCACCCCACTGCTGGATGCAGCCTGTCAGGTACTCTGTCACTTTCCTGATGCTCTCATCATCTCCATGGCAGCAGCTGAGCAGCAGGGGCACCCGGGCCTGGAGGAGAGTGCCAGCAGCGGTGTCCGCATCCTGGCTCTTGGTTTCCGCCTCAGCCAGGATCAGCTCCACCAGACTGATGAGCTCCGGAGCCTGGACCTGAAGCGCCAGCTCCTCGCGCCGCTTCTACAACCAGTTGTTTGCCAATCAGCCCTGGGACACGCTACCCCACCCTACAGTGCCAGGTCACCCTCCTGAGACCTGCCTGTGGGGTGCGCTGGTCCCTTCCCTGCCAGATCCGGGGAACATGGATGCAGGCCCAGAGGAAATCCAGGGAGGCAGAAGGGTCAAACCTGGAAGGAAGCCAGGAATTTTGGTTGAGCGCAAGAGAAGCTTGGCTCAATTTCTAAGCATAAGGAGAAAAACCAATCAGAGAAAACAGGACAAGAAGTTTCCTGGTACAGAGCGTTTTCGTGGAAAAGCCAACAGCATTCCTTCTGAGGAGATCCACAGAGAACGTGTGTCCGTGGGCAAGTTGCCCAACTCTGCACCCCAGAGAGTAAAAACAAACATGGGCCCTGCCAACCCCTCAGGTCCTCTGAGGAAGGCAGGTGACCTCCTGCTAGGGGCCGATGGGTTCTCACACAGGGTGGGAACACAGGTGGGGGTAAAGGGTCAGATGTCCCCAGGGCCCTCTCAATGCTGAGGTCGTTTATCCCTGTCTCCGGGGCAGCACTGGAGTGGTGTGGCTGCCAGACAGAACCAGCATCTCCCAATGCAGGGACATGAGCCCCATGTCATACCACACCTGTGGCGAGACCAAGAACCTGCCTGAGCTGGCGGCCATACCAGCAGGGAGGGCACAGCCCAGGCCGGGAGGGGAGCCCACCTCTGTTCCCGGCTCTTGCCCAGCAGGACGCGAATGCACTGGTGCAGTGTGGACCAGCTGGACTGGTGTGTGAAGAGGGCCAGGAGGTAGGGGCGGAACGACAGCACCTGGGTGCCACTGTGGCCTTTGCCCTGGGGAGGAAGGAAGCCAGGAGGGTCCCAACTGGGCCAACAGACTGGCCGGCTCTGCTGAGTAAAGCCAGTTGATACTGTCTCTGAAGCTGCCTCTCAGAAACACAACTAATCCCCAGTGGGACACCAACTGAGGGCTGGCTGACATCAGAAGGCTCCTTCTGAGTAACTCACTCAACATTTTCTCACCTCTTCCATACAGAAGCAGCACTACAGAGTGGAGGTGTCCCTGAGGAGTCACTTCTCCGCAGGGCCCTGTCCCTCCCCTTTGAGTGACACCAGGTGTTAATGGGGGAGACCCTGTCATTCTTCTGGGTTGCCAAGTGGACTCGGGGTCTGAGTGGCAGGGCGCTGGCTGCTGCGGTGTGCATCGTCCCAGGCCAAGGCCCCATCCACATCAGATCAGGGAGCCCAGATGTGTCCTCTGCCCCTGGGCTAGTCCCTTGTCCTGAGAGCAAAACGCAGCCCTCACCTTCCTCCGGGAGAAGAGCAGCTTCTGCTGCAGGTCGGGGCAGCAGCTGACCACCTCGGGATCCAGCATCTCCAGCCAGTCCACAAGAAGCCCAGACGAGGGTCCCAGCCGCACGGCCTCCAGGCTGCAGGGAGGGAGGGGGCTCAGGGAAGGGCCTGCCCAGCCACATGCCCAGGCCATCTGTGGCTCCCCACGGCTCCCCAGCTCACCTGCTGACATCTGGGTCCTGCTTTGCTGGGGACGGGGGCTCCTCCTTCTCCTGCAGCAGCAGGGAGCTCACCACCACAATGGGCTTCAAGGCCGGAAAAGAGGAGGTGACGTCCATGGTGGCAGAGAAGAGCGCAGTCAGCAGCTCCTCCAGGTGAGGGGATCTCACCTCTATCAGACCCTGGAGAACTGCACATGGGACAAAGGGACATTCTGGGTTACTCCCAGGTCAAGGGAGACGGCTGAGTGGGGGTGAGTTAGCCAGTGTTGGGCGTGCCATATCACAAGTAGGAAACTCCAACAGCAGAACCCAGGTGGGAGAGGGAGCACAGCAGGCTGTGGCTCTCTTTGCTGGGGTGCGGTGGGGGCTCCCTAGAGGAGGAATACTCCAGCTCATTCTCATGAAGCCCCATTTGGGGGTGCCTGGGAGTGGATGGTGCTGAGCAGTCACTGCTAGGCCCCCGCTGGGCAGCAAAAAGGAGCTGTCTACAGGCTGCGGGCTCTTTGCAGGGCCAGGATGGCACCTTTGCTGATGAGCTCTGGCTCCACGCTGCACTTCTCCCCAGACTTCAGGGTGGCGATGATGGCCCGGACAGTAGAGCTGACCACGTCCAGGTCCCGACGGAAGGTCAGGGACTCAGCCAGGTGCAGGAGCCCACTTCGCACTATGGAAAAGTATGTGTGACTGCCACTGCTGGCCTTGGCTTCTGTCCCTCACCCTGCCCAGCTTGTCCTGTCTAGGGAGGCCCCACTGTGAAATGAGTCCCCTCAGTCCCTGCAAGTACCTTCCTCCCTGAAGGAACCTCCATCACTCCCAGGCCTCTATATGCCAAACCGCTTGGCCACAGTGTATTAAGCCAGCCCAGTGCCTGGGACGCTGCCCAACAGATACCTACTGGCCCCGCTGCGCCTGCTACCTGTCCTGCCCTCACCGTCGCTGATCCTGTGTCTTGCCGAGTACTGGGTGGCGAACAGCTTGAGCTGGGCCCGGAGGGGCCCGTCCTCCACAGCAGGGCTGTCCAGCCACTGTAGCATCTGCATGAGCACTTTGAGGAAGAGCGAGGAGAAGCCGGTGTCCTGGGGCACACAGCGCTGTGGGGATGACAGGCTGCATGTGGGCTACACTGGTCCAGAGACAGCAGGAAGGAGCTCAGACTCCACACCCGTTGTTTATGGAGGAACCCAAATACCCAAAGCCCAGAGAAGGAGCCCTGAGGCTGGGGCCAGTGTGAGGCCCCAAAGTGACTAGCACTGTGCAGCTTGGGCAAACACCATCCCATCTGCCACTTAAAACAGTGCCTACCCCTGCATGTGCCAAGACAACCTTGCAATGACTGACACTCTTAAAACTCCACAGCTGGTGAGGTGTCCTACCTTTGGCAACTTATTTCTGTAATGTTCAGAGAGAAAAAATACACACAGGCACACAAGGAGACACAAAAGCACATTCACACAAGAACATAGGCAGATAAGGTGAATACGGCAAAGTCACTAAATCTAGGTGGGAGGTATGCATGCAGGTAACACTATCATTCCTTCACCTTCTCTGTTTACTGCAAATTCTTCATCATAAAGAGGCGGGACTCTGCCTCAGCTCCCTTGCTCCATTTAGGAACAAAAACCAAGGCCCACAAAGGGACAGCCTCAGGGTAGAAATGGGTGACAATGTGACCCTCCCGCGCAAGGCAGAGCCCCACGTCACCCTTCTCTGTGATCCCACCACGCCAGCTGCTGCTGCCGGAAGCTCCTGCCCTTGGGTACCTGGTACTGGTACAGCTGGCGCATCAGTGGGCAGGAGAGGAAGTGACTGTGGTGCATGGACATCACCAGGGCCCCACTGTGCGGGGAGCTGAGCAGCGTGGCAATGGCCTGCAGGAAGCGCACCGTGATGCCTGGCACCTCGGGGTTCCCCTGGCGGACTCGGGCCAGCTCCTGGCCCAGGGCCTGCTGCAGTGCAAGGGCAATGGGGCGGGGACTGGAGCTCTGCCACCGTGGGTCAGGGCTCAGCGGGAAGATCTGGAATAGAGCAGGAGTGGGCATCAGGAGGAGGAGGAGCGCTGCTGGAAGGCTGAGGCCTCCCTGGGTAGCTCCTGTGCGAGAACACCATCCTCTATTGGGTCCCCAATCATTTGTGGCCCCAACTCTGTGGACTGAGGGGTCCAGGGCCCTTGAGACCTGTGCTGGGGAGCAGCTAGGAACCCAAACACCCCCAGAAGCTGCCCCTAAAGGATAAAGATGCCCAGACACTGCCAAATGCCCACAAAGCTCTCCATCGGAGAGGAGTGGGACAGGATGGGGCCTGCATGGGGACCTCAGCTCTAGCAGTGAGACCTCAGGCAATCCCTGCAAACCTCAGCTTCTGTACACATAGAGCAGAGTGCTGGGCTTAGAGGGATGTGAGGATGGCAGGGAGTGTGTCCAGAGGGGGACACCTCTGCTCTTGCCACCCGCATACCTGCGCCCCCGAGAAACCCATCTGAGAGTATGTGTGTGGGTGCACATGCAAGAGGAGCGTGCAAGTGCTGGTGGACACACGTGTGCAAGAGGGCCCCCAGCTGTAGATCCACGCACAGTGGTGTTGGTACCTGCAGGAGCATGCTGGCCAAGTCATCCTCAGGACCAAGCACCCGGACCTGAGTCCCAGCCCGAATTCTCCCCTGCCCTGGAGGGTGCTCTGGGCTGCTTTTGGGTTTTGGTGCCTCTACACTGTCTGCAGAGGAAGAGGGAACCATCACCAGCTGAAAACCCTTTCTGACCAGCTCCAGTGGGGGAACAGTGCAAACCACACCCAGTCCCACCTAGGGACCATCACCCAGGAAGAAGAGGGTCTGCACACTCCCTGAGAACCCCGGGCCTCCCTCAGGCCAACAAGAAAGACAGACTAAACAGGAGCCCGCACACTGGCCAGAGACAAACTCTGGCCAAGGAAACTGTCAAGGCATCTCTGCAGGACCGGGGAGCAATGGTGTGGTGAGTTGGGGGAGGTGGCCCGGTACCTCGTCGGGGGGGCAGGGAGGCTGTGAGTAGGGAGTGGAATGTCTGGCCTCCAGAAGCACCTCTCTCATGTTGAACCTCAACCAGGTGAGCCATGTAATCTGCAAAACAACAGCCAGGGGGTATAGGGAAAAGGAATTCCCTTTCCCACAGGAACCTGAGCTGGGAACATGCACACGAATGCTCCAGCAGAGCTTACTACAGCTTCCTAAGATTCAGAAGCTGAGCTAGGGATCTTCCAGCAGCAAAGGATCAGTCTGTGGAGAGAGCCCACCAGCTCCCTCCAGCCTCCAAACAAGTGCCAAGCGGGACACCTGGCACCTGGCAGGGCAGGGCCCAGGCTTTGTTCCCTCCTGACTACTCCAGCCTCACCAACCCCCCCCTCTAAGCCCTGCCCATGAGTGCCATTCACGCCCCACCTGACCTTGCTCCCTGCGCCCAGCACACAAACTTGGCCAGCCCTAGGGCACTCGGTCAGGATCTGGGGACCGACCTGGTGGACCCCGGCTCTTACTCTTGTCCATGATGTTCTGCTCCAGGGTCTGGGGATCATGAGCCACTGCCTGGTCCAAGTACTGGAGGAGCTTGCTCATGCTAGACACGGGGATGCCAAAGGACTGCACGAAGAGCAGCAGCTGCTGAGGCTCCAGGTCCTGTAAAGCTGAGCACATCACTGAGTCAGTGACCTCTGCTCACAATCCTGTGTGCACACAAGGCTGTTGGTGGCTTGGGGTCACCTGGAGCCTGCCCAGAGCCCAGGCCCTCCCCTCTGGGTGGCAGCTTGGAGGCTCACAGTAGCACTGCAGAGCCTGGCACCACGTGGCACACTATCCCACTCACTTGCAAAACTCATGCAGCTCTTGTGGTTTTTACCTCTTAGCACTCAGCTCTGAGGATGTTACCTTCCCAAAGTTATCCATGGCTCCCCACAACTCACAAGAGTCCAGACTCCTCAGTGCCTGTCTTCCACTGGGCTTCCCCAGCTAGCTCTACATACTCACCAAACTGCCTCCCCAAACCCCTCACCCTGCCCAAGTGTCAGCCTGACTGACCCGGGCTGGCTTAGGCCGCTGTCCAGCTCCTGCTGGGACCTTCCTCCTCACTGCAGCTCACCCAAATCCTTCAAGAACCAACTCAGAGGCCCCCACCACCTGCCCTTCTCCCCTCCAAGTCCCTGACCTCTTTATCGACATTTCTTTTCCAGGACTTATTTCTGACTTCGGGACCCTGAGCCTGATACCAGACCATAAGCTGCTTGTAGGCAGAACCAGCATGGGGCTGTGCTGGGTCTTCTCCAGCATAGCACCTGGCACAGCCAGAACTCAATAGTATCTGCTGAATACATGGAGGCATGGGAGCCTCCCAGAGGCCTGAGTGGCCACCCGGCCTGTCCTCTCTCATCTGCAGCAGGTGGAAAACACCCCGGCTCACGGGTGACAGGCATGAGGCCTTCCCCTCTCTCCCAAGCCCAGCCTGGGCCTGTACCAGCATCCACCAGGCGAGGCACCTCCGAGCGGATCATGCGCAGCTTCAGCCAGTCAGGCAGCAGCAGCGCCTCTTCAGATGTGTCTACCAGGAAGGCGGTGGGCAGGGGCTTCTTCTCTGGAAACCAGATGTCCAGCAATGCGTGGAACTCCCCATCTCCAGCTTCAGGAAAGACAACGGGGTGAACAGCCTTCCAAACCTCACCATCTGAGGAGCCCCAGACCCCAAGAACAATGAAATGCCAAGGCTGGAAGAACCCAGAGATCACCCACTGCAAATCCTCCCTTTACAAGTGGGGAAATCAAGGCTTCAGAGGACCGAGGGAAAACTCAAGTGTTAGATGGACACTTGCAAATGTGCCAGATGCTTTGCATAAATTATTTAATCCTCACAACTGTTGTGAGAGGCGGGCTGCATTATCCCCATTTTACAGTTGAGGAAACAAACGGAGATCGAGCCACATGCCCGAGGCCCAGTATCCCCTGGTGGGCTTGTGTGTGACCACGGGCAAGCCCTTGCCCTCTGGGCTCAGTCTGACTGGCTGAACCAGCTCCCTTCTAGCTCTCAGACTCCACAGAGCCAATGGCAAAGCCAATGGGCCCAGGCCAGCGTGAGGCCACCTTCCCTGGCTGCCTTTCCCAAGGGTATCACCTGTGACTGCACATCCAGGGTGACCACCTTCATCTGCCTTGTTGGGTCACTGTTCTGGCAGAGCCCACCCACACACCACCCGATCCCCAGCAAGAGGGTTTCGTCCTGTCCTGTTCCCTCCACTCACAGACACCACAAGTTAGTGGCAGAGCACTCATAGCAGTCAGCCAGAAGGGAGAGGAGGAAAAGGCTGCCAAGCCAAAGAGGGCTCAGAAGGCCTGGGGTCACCAGACTCTGGACACTGCCCCACAGCCAGCGAGTCCTCGGGGCCATGCACCCTTGGACCTCATGGAGAGGACCCAGGGCTCAGCTGGACAGCCTCGTGCTTGTGCCTCTATGTCAGGAAACCCAGAGAACTGGCTTGGCCGTGAGAATAAGAAAGGACCAGGAGCTGCCTGCTGGGCACCTCAGGGCGATGAAGTGTCTGGAGCTGGGCAGTGAGGAATCTCTGAAAACCAGGTTCTCACCACAGTCTGTTTTCAGGGCTCTACAGTCTACAAGGTCCTGCCACATAGACAATCTCACGTGCTTCCACAAAAACACTCTAACACAAGCAGGGAGGGGATTACTATCTCCACTTTACCAAAAAAGAAACCAAGGCAAGGGGTGAAAGGGACCTCCCCAAAGCCCCAGGCTGACATGGCACTTCTTGCCCTGTGCATGTTTCATGCCCAGAGCAGAGAGGAGGAAGGGCCGCTGAGTAGGGGTGAGGCCTAGACAGACCTCAAGGGGCCGCCTACCTGGGGCTGCTTTTCCCATCATAGCCCTGCAACGGCCAGCTGCTGCTCACCTCGGGGCGGGCCCAGCGTCAGCAGAATGACCATGGCATGGACCACAAGGATGTGCATGGTGGCGGTCTCTCCACTAGACCAGCGCAGGAAGACCTGGTCTTGAGACTCTGACTGCAGGGAAATTAGAAGGCAATGGGGGGCTGTGGGGGACTGTGGTGCGGGGGCTCACAGGGCCCAGGGAGCCAAAGGGCACCTTACCCAGCTGTAGACCTCCTCGCCCTCCTTGCTCTTGCGCATGCGCCTCACATAGCGGGAGAAGATGGAGAGCAGGGCACCCAGCACAGCGTCCGAAGCAGCACTGGAGGATAGCTTCGAGAAGAGGTGGGACATGATGGTGGAGCGCTCCACAACGAGCCGGGCCACGTCCTGAGAGGTGGGGGGCCGTCAGAGGCTGCTGGGGACTCCAGCTGTGTGCCCACCTGACAGCCACCCCCCAACCTCCCTGCACACCTGGCCAACAGCTGGAGCTGGGGCAGCCTCATTATGAGGCTGACCACGATGCCAGGTTATGCTCTGTGAGTCACACGCCCGTCAGGAGCACAGCAACTGCTCTCAGCAATGTGTGTGCTGACGACAAGGAAGCGGAGCTCCACAGAGCTGCAGGCCCTCACTCAGAGGGCAGTGCAATGCAACCCACCAGGCAGGTGGCAGCGCTGGGAGAGGAGGCAAGGGCTTTATCTTTATCAGACTCTCTGGGGAGGACATGGCTCTCAAAGCAAAAGGACAGCAACTGGGCCCTGAGAGTGGACATTGCTGCCCACTTCCTGCCACAGCGGAGAGGAAGGAGCATGTGGGAGCAAGGAGAAAACAGGCCCACAGGACACCATTCCATGAGCATTAGAGATATGCACTTCTCAAGACCAAAAGAAAAAGGCTGTTGCGGACCATCCAGACACGGTATTTATAAATTTGCAACAACGACACTGAGACACCTTGCATGAGCTACCACTGGACCAAAGACTCAGGACAAAGGCCTCAAAGGCCGTCCAGGTGGTGACATCTGCAATTTAGTTTCCAGCCTCCAGCAAGAAACCCATGCTTGGACAGAATCCAATCCCCCTGTGAATGTGCTGTCTACTTATTCAGTCACTCAAAGACTCAGGGCCCATGAACTTGTGCTAGGTCACACACTTGACAGGAAAGCAAGGTCAGAAGAAACTCAACTGGACAAGGACGGCATAAAGGAGAGCACGAGTAAATGCCATGGCTTTCAAACTGTCCTTGACACCACAGTCCCAAGACTGAAGACAGGCTAATAACACCCGGGCTGGCCCAGCAGCCTGCACTGCATCCCAGATCCTCCAGGCACGGCAGGGAGGTGACTCGTGGTTCAAACTCCACCTTCCCATGACCAAGGCACCCCCACCTCCCTGGTAGCTCTACACCCTCATGATCTGAGAAAAAATGGTCTATGAAGTCAGTGGTGACTAAGGAAGGGACACAGATGGCCTAGCCTTGGTGATCACAAAGGCTCCTGGCCCATCCAGCTGCGCAGGCTCTTGTACCCTCAATGCTTCCCTGTGGCATAAGGTCACTGGGAAGTAGGCTGGGGGCGTGAAGAGTCTCTAGTCCAGGGCATGGCACAGCTGGATCATGGTCCCCCCACCCCCAAAGTCCCCAGGCCAGGTCACTGTGCTGGTCCTGTCCCTCCCTCACCAGGGCCAGGTCGCTGTGCTGGCCCTGCTCCTCCACCGGCATGTGTTGGGACAAGTACACCAGGTAGGCGCTGATGGTCTGGGGGTCGGTCTCCATGTGGATTGCCTGTGGAGAGAGAGGTTTCTGAGCTAGCTCCTTGGGTAGTGCTGCCGCCACTCCAGCTGCTGCCTATCCCTCCTGGTGGCCCCAGGATGTTACCCTCACCTGCTGCAGCGCCAGGGCAGTGGTGGTCCTAACGCTGTCGAACAGGGGCAGCCTGGGCAGGTCCCGCAGCAGCCACTGGTAGCCCTGCAGCATGTCCGTGTCCCCTGAGTCCTCCTCCATGGGGTGCTCCTTCTCCTCCCCGTCCCGCAGGCTGCCCTCTGAAAGCACCAGCGACAAACCCTGCAAGCAGACACAGGCGGGCTGTAACCAGCCCTCACCACAGCACACAGGCAGGGGGTCCACATCCTGAACTTGGGGGAGCAAAGACATCCTGCAAAGCCCCATGCAGGGAGTGCAGGACTTCCCAGTCGAAGGACTCCTTCTGCCAGGGTGACCACTATTAAAAGCAGAAACAAGTAGCATGAGCTGGTTTCTTTAAAAAGCTTTCATTCAATTCCTTTTAAGATATAGCAAATCCTGGTTTATCAAGTCACCCTTGGAACACTGCACATTGTTCCCCAGGGAAGAAATACCAGACAAGTGACAAAAGGCCTCCAGTCCCAGTTTTACTGGTAGTACCTCTTCCATGCATGAAGATTAGTTTGAGAAAATCTGGGAGAGCCAAACACTCATTTTACTTATTTACTTAATTATTATTACCATTTTAATGCTCATCTTAAATACAAAGAGAGGGAGGGCACACAGGCAGGCACGCCAGGCGCTGCTGCTGCTTACTGAGCTCCCTCCGCCCAT